GTGCATCCGCACCTGAATCCGCACCCGCTGGCGGGTATCCCCCTAGACGGATAGCGGATATCCGTGGCGGATTATCCGCGACCATCTCTACTCTGAACAGCGGAGAGGGAACCCCTCGGCCATTGCAAGTGTACACTCCTGAAGAACAAGAGGGTACCCCCTTGACAGTGGAGGAAGATTCCACAAATCTCAATTTATATTCACCAGTATATAACATTTAGGGCTTCCTCCTAATTTTTTTTTAAAAAAAAAACAGGAAGCCCTCCAGTGCAACACAATGAGTAAAAGACCACCATAATTCCAAACCACCCATGGAAAATATGACAAACTGGAGTTTTGCCAAGTTTAAATAGCGGGGTTCATGATTGAGCTTTTGGATGCTTGTTTTTCTAACAATATGTTCTTGTTTACTTACAGCTTCAGTTTTGGATTTTGCTTGTAGCAAGTGTGTTTTTAAGCATATTTAAGGCCCTGCTTGGCCGCAAATCATGATAGGTGATTTGGCTAAGGTTTGGCACAGATTTGGACTGTGTGATATAAAATAATGATATAGAAAAATTTGCACAAAGCCCTGCCAAACCTGGCCTCAAAATTCCAAATTAAGGACGGCCAAACTGGACCTAAGCTTTGCAGCAGACCATTTTACTGCCGGTTTGGGATAAACAGCTCTATGAGAAATGCCAACCATCAATCCCACTAATCAACCCAAGACTTAAGTTTACCATACTGAATGCTCTCAGATCATAACTTTCAACTTTGCTTGTTCAATCCTTAAAGTATATTGGAGCTAGTGTATCAATCAAGCCCTGTGGCCATTAAAGTACAATGTACTTGAGGCTGAATGAGAAGATAGTATGTAGAAAATGAAAAAGAGACAGAATGGACATAGTTGTACAAATGTTTCTAAAAAGAAATGAGTATAATGAACACTATACAACAAAGAATAATTTTTACTAGACAACAGCTCTGTTCTATTCACTTGCTAGACTTTTTTATTCACCTGCAGATCCTCACAGGATTTATCAAAGGATTTTCTATCAAGCAGTGAAAAGTGAGTATTTGGCTAAGAGAAGAAATTGTAGTCAACCTTTCATCAGCTTGGATTCCAGATGATGGAAGTTTAGGATTGTGAACATACAGGTAGGATAGAAACTTACCTTGGTGAATTTTTTGAGATCTAATTCTTTTTTGCAGCATACGTTATGAAATCCTCCCGCATATTCTTTTCGTTTGGGATCGCAAGAGAAGCCACCGGTCACTCCGCGGGCGGATATCACTTATCAAGGTTGTGATACAAGGGGCAAACAAATCAACACCTTCCCAGGTCTAGTACAGCTTTGGCTGGGGCTTGTGGATAGCTAAAAAACACCGTATGACTTACCCCAATAATCTACCCTTTTTTTCACATCTTTAATCCTCGTCCCAAGGCATACTCCCTGTGGTTTATCGCCTTGACATCGAAAGACATCATCGGTTTGGGCTGCTTGGACTACCTGGCCCACGAGCATGATCGCTATCAGAACCAAGAATCGCATCGAACACATCATTGAGTTGCAAGATGATCGATTGGTGTACAAGATATTGGTGATGAAATGACAGTTTCGTTGAAGTTTTGGAATGGACACGGAGTGTGTTGCTGTGAGGTGCCGTGAGAGTTTTGGACAGCGCAAGCCCTTTTTATGTCCCTTTTATTGGGGAGTGTGAACCTGAACTTCTGAAGGAGGGCAAACGCGGAAGCTCGAATGAGAGAAGCTCGATCACCATGTCAATCACGCCTCGAGCTACCAAACACGCTCCCTGATCCCATGTAGAGTGAATTTCATGGGATGGTATGTATGCGATAAAAAAATGATTGCGAGAAAAAATCCCGAGCAAGAGAGAGCTGTTTCGAGCAGTATATGACAACAGCAGTCAAGAAGGTAAGATAGCCAAGGGAAATGAGGCTTGATGCAGGTAACAAACCTGGCAATGCCACGTATAGAAATCCGCGGGACACGCATACCGAGGCTGAAGTTGGCACTGGGGTAGCCAGCAGCAATGGCTGTGGCCGGGAGTTCAATGTTTGGTATTAATATTTGAGTATGCCGGCGGAAAAGTCAGAGGGCAAAGATAGGCAAAGATTGCAACGGAACACTTCCTTGAGCATGAGCCAAGACGAAAGCGCGACCCAGCAAGATCGATACTCTTGGTCCTTCGATATGTCCACCATCCACACTCTTTGCCTCTGTTACAATCACTCGATATGTCAAAGGTATCGGCCACAGATAGAGCATAGCTGTCTCGATCGTGATGGCGACATACTATGAGTTGATTTAGAAAATCACAGATCTCTCAAAGGAGTTGAATTCTGTGTTTTGTTTTTTGTGTACTACCTCTGCAAGCTTCTTCTCTAAAGATGATGATGATGATTCCATTTTAAATAAGCGAACCACGAATGAGACAATCCACTAAAAGAAAACAAAGCCGACAAAACACAAGTGAAGGATTAAATTAGACTAACAAATTATAATCAAATGTATTTAGATATTTCACATACACACAATAGTAAATGAACCTCCAAAAAAAAAGAAGAAAAAAGAAGAGGATTAACTAAACAAAACAAAATATATGTAAATCCGAGTGAAGTAGAGAAGAGGGTAGATAGAAGAACGCAAGAGAAGCCAGTAAAAGAAACAACAACAAAAGATCCTCTTCGTTCATAGTGAGGGGAATGTAAGATTAAGTGGCGAGCGGGGGAAGGAGGGGAGGGCGAAGGGAAGGGAAGGGAAGGGAAAGAATAAGAAGATGTACAAGCAACGGTAGAGAGACGAGCTAGCGATTTAATCGAACTGATTATAGAAAAGAAAGATGCGAGCGTCCTAGAAAAGGGGACCAAAGAAAGAGAGTAAGAAGAGTAAGAGAAGATCAACTGTAACGAAAGAAAGACTGGATCGGCGAGACGGTAGCGGTAGACGACGAATTCTTAGGATCCGGGGTAGGGGTAGCTGATCCGACGGACATGGTGGGCAAGGTGTGCGGGACGGTTGAAGTACTAGTTTCTCCGTTTTGGTTCGTGCCGAAGAAGAAGCTGCTGAACGAGGTCGCAATGGATGATGCTCGGGATGGAATTGGCTGAGGCTCTAAGGAACGTTCGCGAATGTATGTGAAAAAAATAGGTGTTTTAGTTGGGATTCAAGAGTTGAGATTAAGTCCGAGGGGGAAAAAAAATGAAGTTGCCCGGCCTACCTGCTGAGTGATCGGAGTTGTGATCTTTTGCTCCTTCTTTCTCTTCGCCGTCGACATTCGAGTCGCCGCCAGCAGCTTTAGCGTCGGCGCCCGTGGCAACTTCGGCCGTCTTTGGGAGTGAGGCAGCAGCGATTTGAGCGTTGGATTTCTCCTTATATTCGGCCTGTCGTTTGGCAAAGTCGGTGCGGATACTGGAGGCCAATTTCCAGACGCTCTCTGAGCTCTTCGAGAGCGTCTCATCGAGCTTGAGGTCTTTGATCCCGTGCGATAACCATATCCCTACATCCTCCACTACCGAGACTCGCCCTTCACATGGATGTCGTGGGTCGATCAAGTCAAAGATCACACTGCCGATCGAGAGGAACAACACCGTTTAGTAAGTCAATCTCCGAACATTCAGACTTGTGCTTACCTGTCCGTATGTTTATCCCACAACTTGAACGCATGTGTAGTTTTGAATGCTTGGATAAACACATCGTTGAACGCGGCGACGCTAGCATTGGCCGATTCTAAACACAAGAAAATGTGAGGAAAAAGACTCTCGATCAGTCGTCTTTGGTCCTTCAAGAGAATTGAACTCAGCGAGCGGTTTCATACCATTATTACCTAATGTCGGTCCACCCCCTCTACTATTCTCACAATAATCTGCATACTTGATCACCGACAAAATCTGAGACCACTCCCCTTTTTTCGTTAGACATCTGTCTCTAATTCATCACCCTCTGATTTGAATGCACTACTCACCGAGCAAACATAATTCTACAATCAAAATTCACATGAGATGATTGATATGGTCAATAAGCGGAGCAATCTTTTAGCCATTTCTGAAGACACACACACCTCAAATTCTCTACGAAGATAATCGTCGCTTCCCAAGAACCTGAAAACAAAAGAACCAGTGTAAGGATAAACTTTCAGCAAGAGGAGCCAGGGGACTCTGCAGGCATTGTGGGCATTCTTACTTGTTTCCAATAGGACGGGAAGGATCGTCTTCGTTCCAAGAAGAATCAACGGCCTCAATTAACTGTCAGCAACAAAAAAGTTTCAGAAATTTCGACCATGTATGAGTCGAACAGATTAGTGTGTTGAGCAATTACCTCATCCATCCACTTCCGATCAGCAGAGGTCAGAGCAATCAAGCTAGCAAGCTTAGGATCCTTCAACTCGAGTGTAGCAAGTTCGATCTACAAACATATTAGAACAGTAGTTTAAAACGATTGAAATTTCCAGAGGGTGTCAATTCGGCAGATCAGAAGACACACGTTCGCAATAGCATCGATCTTGCAATCCTTTTGCTGCTGGAAAATCGTGTTTGTTGTTCCGACTAAGTATGTCGAAGCTTTCAAGAGGTCGATCTGTTGTAAGGGTAAATAAGGTTGAAAAAACGAATCCTATTCCCAAGAGCCAGCGGGTAAGATTACATTTAATCCAATCAAGTAGGGTTCATCAGCACAAGTTTTGGACAAGGTGAGAGACAGACAAGTTGTTCAGAAGGGTACAGGTGAGATTTCTGATGAAGAGTGTATGACGCACGTACTTGTCCGAAAATGTCCAAGGGCAATCCGAAATATTTCAATAGACTATGACGATCAGAGGTTTGAAGCGAGGTTGGTTGAGAGAGTTTCCGGGAGCGTTCGGCTAGCATGGGTGAGCCGGAGTCTTCAAGATTGACAAGTAGACCTGAAATTCCTCCAAAATTCATCCATCAATCAATCGACTGTATCTGTCTACGGCAAAGACTTCCCAAGGACAAGGAAAACAAGAATTTCACATACATGGAATTAAAGAGACCTTCAAGATTTTGTAGATGAATTCATCAAGCACGTCAGCAAGCCTTGAAACACTTATTTATGATCAGATTGGGCTAACATACGAGTGAGTATTGGTAGGTGCATAAGCTTTCTACAGGATGTCCATAGAACATAATCTAGCGGAAATCAATGTTGTCAATATTGAGCTTGTAAATGAGGAGAGCGTGTGTATGTGTGATAACTCACCCTTCGTTGTAGCAGTAACAGCTTGACTAATTGCAGTGTTTTCAATCTAAAGTGATGAATTAATTCACGCAAACTAAATAGTAGTTTTGAAGGGCGGTTTATTCAAGGTGAAAAAGGATATGTGAGTGAGGTCGTCGTTGTTGATGATGATGATGATCAAGCTCGGACGAACTTAGTACCCATGTACATAGCAGCCTCACCTGACCGTTCCTTCTGTTTGCCCTTCTTGATTCTGAGAGCCTCTAGTCGACGAGCCTCTTGTTCGGGGTCGAGGGTTGAGTCGACAGTGCCATTGGTAGAGCTTGCGGAGCTGGAGGGGTAAGTCTGCTCATTCGTCGGTTCGGCCAGTCGCATCGTCACCTCCCCACCTCCTTCGCCTAGTCCTACCTTGAAGGAGGCCGCTAAACTGTGGTAAAAATCCTCGAGGATCGAACGGTCTGTGAAGTCTCTTTGGGCAAACAGCGCTCGTGTGACGACCCCTAGTTTGTCTCTGATACATCCAAATACGGGTTGATTGGCAAGCACAACTAGATGGTTCAGATTGCAATTTTCATATTGATGAGTTATTTTGAGATGCAGAACTTTTTGGAATAAAAGATAATGCTAACCAACTGCTTTCTGGACTGTAGACCTTGTAACATCTGCGCCAGGATTGATGAGATCAGTGCTAACGATTTGTCGATTACAGCTACGCGATGATTCGATGAGAAGATTAGGTTTCAGCAGATGGATTTCGCTTCGGGATTGGTGTGTTGGAAGAATAGAGATGAGACTGACGAGATACCAAAGATAGTAGAGTCGGTTGACAGGTGAGGTAGGAAGAGATGGAAGTAGGAATAGTCTTCAGTTTTCTAATGAAATGTGAAACAACATGCTGGTGATTAGTATATCTTTTCTTTGTTTTGTGTGGGTTTTTCTTGTTTTTTTTGTTTTTGTTTTTGTTTTCACTGACGAGGTGAGCTCCATCTGGTAGTGCAAGGAATGGTAAGTTTCTGTTGATCTGTTGACTGAGTGCTTCATGTTCTGCCAGGCTGGCTGGGTAGCTCCATTCGACTGTTGGTCCTAAGGCATGATCAAAGCTGACGAGGATGACCGCATAGACCGATAGTGGTGGTTTCTCTCGATCCATCAGTCGAATATCTTGAAGGCTATCTTTCCTGTGCTTGGTGGTTTCTAGTCTCGTTCCGTTGGTTTGGGTGGTGGTGGAATGTTGGGTGGGACAGTCTTGATAGCTGGCTTAAATAGGTTGAGGTTTAGTCCTCAGTTTCTGACATGTTTCTGACTCAACTCATTCTTGGATTTGAACACAGTGGTTAGAACAACCAAGTGAAATGGCTGCTATGTATGTATAAATCTACTTTCCTGTTTCCAGACTACCTAACGGGAATTCTCACTCATCTACAAACCCATCCTCTTGGCCAGGGACTTGCAAGTTAACCAGCCATGATGAGACGATGAAAAGCTTTACCAGTTCCAAGTGCCTGCTCTAATTATAAATAACACCAGATACTCTCAACCCCATCTAGAGCACCTCTGATTAAAAGGGTTGAAGCCAAGATAGCATGCAATATCCACACTCATGAGTCATGGGGAAGAAGAGGAGAAATGCACATACACCTCATCATGCCCGCAGATCCCAAGCTCACAACCTGCTTGTCCAGAAAGTGATGATGCATACACTTTTTAAGTTTGCAAGTGTCTCCAAACCTACAATCATATGATTGATGCTAGAGTAGAGAGAAGAGAAAAGATCTTAATTCATTGTTCAACAAACAGAGAGGTAGGAATGAGAAAGCTTATCAACAAAGAAACTTGGACTCAATAATACAACAACACGATGGACGACAACGAAGGAAAACATAATACAAACTGCTATATATGAGGAAAAAAAAACACACTACATGCAAAGTGCACGATGAGGGGAAAGGAAGGTGCGACTGATCAAAGAGGCAGGAAGAATCAAAGTGAGGTTTTTTGGGGATGAAAGAAGACTCAGACCGAAGCCAGAAGAAGTTGGACTTCATAACAACAACGATTGGAGATCATTCAAGAAAGAGATAGAAAGCAACTCGAACACATCCTACCGTGGTTGACAACAGCATAGGATAAGAGCGTCGATGATCGGAACGGCCATCCAGCCCCAACGCTGATCGTGTTCCGCAGCTTGATGGCCGACAAAAATTATAGTCACTCTCGTCTGATCATCAGTCGACCACAATCAGTACTTCATCGTCTCGACGATCGCATCAAGGATCCGGATCTGATCTGGTAACTACATCAACCATCAACCAAAAAATTCATCTTAGCTATCAGCAGTCTTCAATCTTCTCGCAATTGAAGTTTATGTATATGTTTTTTTTTTCTGGGAAGGAATGAGGAGGACGAACGTAGAACTTTTCGAAAACTAATGGGAACGGTGTGTCCCAACCGCATACTCTCTTGACCGGTGCCTCGAGTCTAAAAAAGTGGCGAAGACAGATCAACAAAACACAAATGTGAGCGACAGAAGAAGCGGGTATATATCCAATGGGAAGGAAGAGAAAGACCTAGTGAAGCAATGTTCCTGGATCCTAGCCGCGAGTTCAGCGCCGACGCCGCCGTTGAGGGGGGCCTCATGAACGACGACAGCCCTTCCAGTTTTACGGACGCTTTGGACGACGGTGGGGTAGTCGAAGGGGACGACGGTTCTGAGGTCGATGAGTTCGACGGAGAGGTTCCTGAGGCTTTGGGGGACGAGGTGAGCGATCTCTGGGGGAGGGTTCCTGAGCATAGCCAGGGCGAGCTCGCAGACGTAGAATGCCGTCCCGTAGCTCACCACCGTCAGGTCCTGCCCCGCACTCACCACCTCCGCTCGGTCTAATGCCAGCTCATACTCTCCCCCCGGAACCCATTCCACTGACGAGCGGTAGAGCACCTTCGGCTCCATGAAGATCACCGGATTCGGCTCCCGGATCGAGGCTAGTAGTAAGCCTTTGGCTTGGCTCGGTGACCTCGGTATGACCACCTGACCATGTCCCAATCAAAAAAAGAAACATAAGCAATTGCTTGTTCTTCCTATCGATCTCCCCTGAAAAAAAAAAAAAATCCCCTGAAAAAAGGCCTCACTTTCAATCCTGAGGCTTGTTGGAAATATCCTTCGGGGCTTTGCGAATGGTACAACCCGCCATGTCCGACGGCCATCACGGGAGTCCTGACCGTGAGCTTGCCACAGTTATATTTGCCGCCACTCCTGTATCGAAGCTTGGCTGCTTCGTTGACTAATTGATCGAAGGCTGGAAAGATGCTATATACAAGGAATCCATCCGAGTTCGCTCATGATCATCAGTAGGCTATCTCCCTCAGTGCTTCAATTTAAAGAAGCGTGGGGAGGTAAATTGACTGAACTAGTCTCCGAATTGGATCTCGGCTATTGCGGTATGGCCCATCGTGGCCATCCCGATCCCGAAGCCTGCGATTCCTTGTTCACTGAAAGAGTTCACAACGTCAATTAATTGTGTGGTAAACAGACAGATTGAAAGCCAAGTTGAATGGAAGGACATACGTTAGGGGAGTATTGAACACTCGATCCGGGCCGTACTCTTCTGAAAGGCCCAACGAACATCTGTGCAAGGGCAGAGGACGACGGGTGGGAACATCGGTCAGCTGAATAATAACGCTGATACAAGAGTCGGTCCTGAACGGCACCTGAACACGCCGCCGAAAGCGACGTCTTCGCCGAAGAGGACGGCACTATCGTCTTTCTGGAGGGTGATCGCCAGGGCGTCCCTGATAGCCTGGAACATACTAAACAGCTCATGATCAGGACGATATCTGCAGGAGGAGAGGAGAGCGACTTGTTCACTTACTTGAGCTTGACCGGCGGCGGCGGCGGGGGTTGGTTGGCCGAGGGATGCTGGCCCGCATGGCTCCTCGTCAGACCGCGGATACGCTCGACATCTTCCGGTTGGTGGCAGAGGAAGGCGGAGGTGGAGAGTGTGGGGTAGGCCGGGCTGAGGGGTTCGCTGCTCTGCTGCTTGTCCTGGCTCGGCGGGCGGTGGGTGAAGGGTCGGCGCGGGTGGTGGGACTGGGGATTGATGGTGGTGGTGGTGCGTCGGGTGGTTGAGTTGAGCCAGTGGCGTGCCTGGTGGGTTCCTCTGTTGACCATCTTTTGGTTGAGATCACAATGTTCCCAGTTGAGGTTTCCTGAGACTCAAAAAACACGCGCTGGGCTATCGTAACTTACGAGCTCAACCAGCACATCACGAGGACAACAACTTATGTATTTACAAGCTATTCAGCACTGCCTCTTTTTTTTTTTTTTTTTCGTGGATGTAACGAATAAGGTCACAGCAGCCCCAGACAAGCAAACAAGAATGATCCACAGCACAAGCAACACGGATCGGGCACGCTAATTTTATCTTTTTGTAACGTAAAGAAGATTTCTTTTTTGATTACGGCAAGTTTGATGTTAATGATGAAACAAAAATTTCGCCATGAGGAAAGAAACCCTCAAAGCGAATACAAGTCTTCTTAAATATTTTTCTAGGTACAACTGACTTTAACTCGTACTGGTCTCTACTTCTTTACAGATTAAAAATTCAAAACTTCCTTCTCCTTTAATATTTATTTTCTTACCTTTCTTGTCTTAAAACCCTTCTTTTCAGACTCAAAATAAGGTGTTAGTCCTATCTTTCTCTTCTGAAAACATAAATATTTTTGAAAATCTCTATCAAATCTTACCTAAAGTCTCGATCTTTCTTTTTTAGCTTAGTTCATTCTCATAATAATTTTTTAGATTTTGCTGTGGGCTGTGCTTGCTCGTTACAAATATGCCCTGCCTATTATACCCCTTTTTTCTTGACTTGTATAATTCCACTAGACTATTTCTGAAAGAATCTAAATAACCATGCAAATAACTTGGGATATCTCTGTCAGCCACCCAGGTATCTTCTCCCGGAGTTGAATTGCGCCAACGGAGTAGGTAGTCAAACTTACCCTTACTTACCTGCCTTGCGTCCAGTATCATCGCCAATTTGGACCAATCCACGATCCTGCCTTCTTTGTAATACTGTTCCCTAATACCCTGAATTGTCCCACGACCCTGAACTTCCCTAGGATTGTTATATCTTACTACCAAAGAAATGTTAAAGACAGGATGGATCTTTGGATAATCTCTAGCGATGACTAATCTTACCGCATTCTTCCCTACCATCTCAATGACTCTAAATGGACCTAGGAATCTATAATCTAGTTTTGAATTAAGTCTTCTTGTTGATATAAATTTTCGTAATAAGAGAACTTGATCACCCTCTTGATACTGAGAGGCCTCCCTTCTTCTCAAATCGTAGTACCGAGCCTGTCGCTGTTGAGCTTGCGTTAAGCATTCGACTGCTCGTTCCTGAATGAGTTCCAAGTCCTCCGCGAATTCGTCTGCTGACTTGATTCCTGAATTATTTGTTAGTATACTAAACTTCGGGTGATAGCCGTAAGAGAAGAAGAATGGCGAAACTCCCAGAGATGCCGAATCTGAATTATTTATTGCAAATTCTGCCAAATCCAATATCTTGTCCCAATTGTCCTGGTAGAACGAACAAAAATGTCGGAGATAGTCCTCTAAAACCTGATTCATTCGCTCCGTTTGTCCGTCTGTCTGTGGGTGATAAGCGCTAGAATAACCCGTCTTAATTTGTAAAGAATTCATTAGACTATTCCAGAATTTGCTTACAAAAACCGATCCTCTGTCTGAAATAATCTTTTGGGGTAAGCCATGCAACTTCACAATATTAGTTCTAAACAAATTAGCAACTTGAGCCGCCGAGTAGGTTTCCTTACACGGGATAAAATGAGTCATCTTACTTAATAAGTCGATGACCACCATGATGGAGTCAAATCCTCCTGAGTCAGGTAGTTTAACAATAAAATCTATACCAACCTTACTCCATGGCTTTTCTGGAATGGACAAAGAATTCAAATGTCCTTCTGGCCTTTGATGTCGCGCTTTAACCCTCTGGCAAGAATCGCAAGATTTAACAAACCTGATCACCTCCTTTCGGATTCCTGGCCAAGAAAATGATCGAGTTATGAGAGCCAGGGTTCGAGCGATTCCCGGGTGACCCGCTGAAGGCATGTCATGAGATAGTTGAATGATCCTAGTTCTCATAGCCGAAGGTACATAAATTCGATCCTGATACCAGTACAAATCCTGAAATAATTGTAAATCCTCCTTTTCTTCTTCGCTCAGATCAGTGTAAGCTCTCTTCAAGTAATTTATTAATTCGTCAGTGGGCTTCTGAAAAAATAAATCATGCTTAGCTGTCCCCTTACTTGGATCGAGCGGAATTAGATCATTTATTTCTTCGGGTACCAAACGCTTTGCAATTGTTTCCGATGGTGAGTTCCTTAATTCTCCTGAAGTATAATCGGGACGCCTGCTTGGACCATCGGCTGGATTCCGCTTTCCTGAAATATGATGAATCTCGAAATTAAATTCATCTAAAAACGAAGCCCACCTAGCTTGTTTGGGAGAGAGTTGTTTAGCAGTTCGAAAATACTTTAAGTTAGAATGATCAGAAAAGACCTTAACTGGATCATCAGTGCCCATTAACCAAGCGCGCCATTCCTCAAAAGCTGCTACAACCGCTAATAATTCTAAATCGAAAATTGGCCATCCCCGTTCTCGGTCCGATAATTTCCTAGAATAAAAGCTTACCGGATGAAGTTTTCCGTCTAATCCTGGCTGACTCAGGACCGCCGCAATAGCGTAACCTGAACTGTCTACGTGAATTACCCTTGGAAGTTTAAAATCAAAATGTCGAAGGAGGGGAGCCTTTGCAAAACAAGATTTTAGAGCTGAAAATGAAGTCCTTGGACTTTTCTCACCCAAACTCTGAGTCGTACAAGCGCCTTCCCTTGTAAGATCCGTAAGGGGGGCTGATAGATCGGAGAACTTTGGGATGAACCTTCGATAAAAATTTGAAAATCCTAAGAATCGTTGGACCTCCTTGAGTGAGCCTGGGTATGGCCAGTCAAGAATAGTTGAGAGCTTCTTCGGGTCCATGCTGATTCCTTCGCGCGAGATGTTAAATCCTAGGAAACGAACCTCGGACCTAAAAAATTGACACTTTCCTAAAGATGCCTTTAAGGAATACTCCTTTAACTTCTTCAGTACCTTCTTCAAGTCTTCAACGTGCTGTTCCCTTGTTTTTGAATAGATTAAAATATCATCAATATAGACAAAGCAACAGACGTCCAAATACTCACGAAGAACGTGTTGAATGAAGCGCTGGAATGTGGCTGGTGCATTAGCTAATCCGAAAGGCATGACGAGGTATTCAAAAAGTCCCCACGGTGTTCGAAACGCCGTTTTCCATTCATGACCCGGTTCGATCCTAAGCAAGTTAAAAGCAGACTTGAGATCGATTTTAGAAAGAAACTTACAACCTGCTAGATTGTTTAACAACCTTGACACCAATGGAAGGGGATACGAGTCTCGGATTGTCATTGAATTTAGTTGTCGATAATCTATACACGGTCTGTCAGCCTTGCCTGGAACCTTAACAAAAAAAATTGGTGCCCCCGCAGGCGACGAAGATTCTCGAATAAATCCCTTTCTTAAATTATCATCAACGTAATCCTTTAACTGCTTATTTTCATTCTCACTTAGATTATACATACCGGTAAAAGGAGGGGTACTTCCTGGCTTAAGATTGATCTGGCAATCGTAACCTTCTCGATGTGGGGGCAAAATACTCAAACTTTCAGAAACAAAAATAGACTCAAATTCTTTCAATTCAGCTGGAAATTCTTCAGTCTCGATGTAAGAAATAGTGGATACAGGCTTGGGAATAAAAAGACTCATAGGAGCGCCACCTATGAATAGATGATTCTTCGATAACCAGGGAGCGCCTAAGATAATATCTGCTGAAGCTAGATTAGTAACAAAAAGTTGAATACGATACGATAATTTAAAAGAAAGAAATGATAGTTGAATTTCCCCAATCCAACATTCTTTTATTTCTCCCGATCGAGCAGCTGTCCCATCAAATCCTCTGCAGACCAAGGGATTCTTAAGCTGAACCAAAGAGAGAGAATTCCTACGTACGAAGCTGATGTCAATAAAGGAAGCCGACGCCCCTGAATCGAACAGGGCTGAAGCTTTGCAAAAGGAAATTCCTTGCGCTAGCTTGACTGAGAGGATAGGGCGGTAGGAAGGGAAAGGGATAGCAAAAAATCCTGAATGCAAAAACTTACAAGGTTCCCTATCGACATCCATGTGGGAAGCAGCCTCATCCCAACACATATCCCCCAAACTAAGAGGCTGAATGTCGTCCAAATTGAGAGTCCCCGCAGGCTTACTTCGTTCTTCTGAAACCACCTCGGCCAAAGCGTCTTCGACTTCCTTTCCTCCCTCCGAAATCCACCTTTTATAAAGCTCAATCTTGACATCGACGTCAGGCTGCTTTTCCTTTGAAGCCGGGCAACCCTTGGAGACCACATGCCGCTTATCGAATTGACCATGGCATCGCTGGCAAACTTGCTTCTTTCGGCAAATAGCTCGAAATCTAGGGAAATTGAAACAATTTTCAGCCGACATAACGTCCAGATCCATCGGGACGACACCATCCGGAATTCGAACAGGCGGGGCAGACACAGATCGGACTGGAGCTTGAGCATGCTGACGTTTTTGAAGGGCCGGAAGTGATCCCGAATCGATTGATGCGATTTTGTCTTGAGCTTCGGCTGCTGAAACTGCTAACGATTGCTTTCCTTTCAAGGTGGTGGTTGACTTCCAATCGCCACGCATGACCGCAATTTTGAGGATCTTGGGGTTGAGGGCTCGTTCGTAAATGTCACAACGGGATTCTTCAGTTAAGTCGACCGCAAAGCAAAGGGAATTGAAAAGCGCATTGAATTCTTCAATCGTTCGGTTTTGTTGTCGGAAGGCATTCAACTTCTTCTTGGCATCTTCATTATCGTGTTTGTTGTCGAACACATCCTCCAAGTGAGCTAAAAAATCCGAGGCTGAAAGAAGTTGCGGTAGGACATAGGGGTCTTGTACCGAAGCCGATTCTGTCGGAAGTTTCTGTTGACGTGCATTTTCGAAAAGCAAAGCCATCCACCAGTTATAGGAAGCGCAAGGATTGCCGAGAGAACCGTTGGGGTGTCGAAAATGCCGGACGATCCAATTGATCTTTGATTTTTCGGATCGAAAACAATCTTCTTTTTCGAAAAGTTTCTCCTTGAT